GTTATGTGTATTGTGTGTAACCTTAACAACCAAAGGACAGTAACGGTTGTGCACTAATATGTAAGGATTGTGCTGAATCTATTTAGTGTCTGGTGGGCTATTTTGTATTTTATTGCGTTTAATCTCCACTGAAAGTGAACCCGCTCGAGCGTTCAGAGTTCTGTAATGTGTTAGCACCAAGGACAACCGGGGACCAACAGCAACAACCTGGCTTCTCTCGATGGCACCCTCGGAGCTGTTGGTATTCCTCAGGTGTGTGTGTGTCTATACTTCAGCGGGTGGGGGCGGCGGGCCAGTGTGACAAGGGACATAGCTTCATCGCGCCAGTAATCACGGGTCAGCGCCAGCACCTATATGTTCCTGACGGTGGTCAGCAGCCTGTGTGTCAGGACTGTGGGGCCTGACGCCAGCCACGGCGGGAACACCTTAACCATCCGGGTTGGATTATACCGCTCATGACTTTATTAATGGCAAGGATTCTTCCCTGGGCCCTCTAATGGGCGTGTGGCTCTCAAAACGTGTGGCGTGCCGTCCGCCCTGGCTGGCAGGAATACCAAACAGCAGGAGGTATGCCTCCGACGGTCACCAGTCTGCTGGTACTTGACATGTTAGGCTCCCTCCCACTTGTTATCCCCAGCAAACTGCGCCAAGTACAAGCGCTGCCTCAAGTACAACTACCCTTTTGGTACTTCTAAAGTACTGAGTATTTTTGTACTCACAGTTCTTCACAATTTTTAGGGTAATTTTATTTATTTAATGAGACTTGGTAAATTTGTACAATGTTTGTGAAACAGTTTGGGCACTCCGGGCCTCGCTTCCTTGGTCTGTTGCAACCCGAGGTCGCTTTTGTTAAGTCCTTTTCCTTCTTATTAATTTATAAATAACAAAAGTGTGTACAGTTAAGTGTAAACATTGATATTGTTGCGTGTTCCTCAGTAAGTGGTCGGAAGCCGGTCGGCCGAGAGGACAACATACTGTACTTGTGATCCTGTGGTCCCGAGTTCGATCCCAGGCGCCGGCGACAAACAATGGGCAGAGTTTCTTTCACCCTATGCCCCTGTTACCTAGCAGTAAAATAGGGACCTGGGTGTTAGTCAGCTGTCACGGGCTGCTTCCTAGGGGTGGAGGCCTGGTCGAGGACCGGGCCGCAGGGACACTAAAGCCCCGAAATCATCTCAAGATAACCTCAAGATAACCCCAAGAAGTGTCTCAGAGTGGAACATTAAGGGTGATGGCGGGTTGTTAACTGAACACATCCTTCCTGCCGAACACTTGACTGGCCGTTACTATCTTGAGGTTATCTTGAGATGATTTCGGGGCTTTAGTGTCCCCGCGGCCCGGTCCTCGACCAGGCCTCCACCCCCAAGAAGCAGCCCGTGACAGCTGACTAACACCCAGGTACCTATTTTACTGCTAGGTAACAGGAGCATATGGTGAAAGAAACTCTGCCCATTGTTTCTCGCCGGCGCCTGGGATCGAACCCGGGACCACAGGATCACAAGTCCAGTGTGCTGTCCGCTCGGCCGACCGGCTCCTATACTAAGTATAGTTCCGCCGCTCGTCGCTAGGGCGCGGCAAGATCGTAGCTCCACTGCCTGGCACTGCTGGGGTCAGTCACTGCTACTCTCACTGTTGCACACCTTCACTGTAGGCTAAGCGTAATCCTGACTACCTCCACACGCGCAAGGGACTTAACGAGCCAACCCGTCCTCCTAATAGAGCGTCGCATTTTGACGTATACTGTTCCTAAGGCCAAGAGATGTACTAGAAAACGGCAGCGGCTGGCGAAATTGACGTACTGTCCCGTTTTCTATTTTCGGTCCTCTGGTTGGTTAGGATAAGGGCCACTTTAGTATGACAGTTTCTTGATGTTGGGGAGGACGGGCTGAACGAGGACTCCTGGAACCAGATTCACGAAGCAGTTACGCAAGTACTTACGAACGTGTACATCTTTCCTCAATCATTGACGGCTTTGGTTACATTTATTAAACAGTTTACAAGCATGAAAACTTGCCAATCAACTGTTGTTATTGTTATAAACAGCCTCCTGGTGCTTCGGAGCTCATTAACTGTTTAATAATTGTAAACAAAGCCGCCAAAGAGTGAGAAAAGCAACCCGTCCTCGACTCAAGTCCATTACATCCAGCGGTCGACCCCACAGACGCATTCATAAATTTTTACATGCTGTTCATTCAAAACTGGAATTTTCTCATATATATTAATATTATAATCTATTAACATTTTGTGCATATATAGGCATAGGATAGGTTAGGTGTTTAGGTTCTGTTGGCGATTATTTGTATTTGTAGTACGTGGGTGAAGCATTTACAGCGTTGTGGTTCGAACAAGTCGTCAGTGAAGCACTTGTTCCGGAAGTGTTCGAACGAAATCCGTTGTGAGTCGTGTGTAAACCGTTTTTCATTCGTAAAGAAAATTTGGCGGGTGCATGGAAACACTTTTGGGTCTTTCTTTGGAGGACGGGCTGAGAAAAGATGTACAGGTTCGTAAGTGCTGGCGTAACTGCTTCGTGAATTTGGCTCCTGGGCTTGTCACAGCGACCCAGAGTGGCACTCACCAGAGGACCACCACTACCAGAGGACCACCACTACCAGAGGACCACTACCAGAATACCACCTCTGACCAGGGTTATCAATGTTTGACTCTACAAACTCCCCTGAAATCACGCGCCATATTTCACATTAACTCCATGAAAATCGTCTGGGTGGTGTTTATAAATGCTAACATCTCTTAATGCTTAAAAGTAGACCCGCACCCGATGAGCCTACGCCCGTCCTGTTTCCAGACCAGTCCACCTGCAAATTTGGGTGATACTAGCCCTTAGCGTCTGGCCTTATAACTGTCACACATTCCCTCTTACAGTGTGCATATTACAAAAGAGTTACATATAATGCTAGTGAAGGACTTGGAAGCCTGTCGCCAGAAGAGGACCACACAGAACCCCAACAAATGGGGCTGAATTATATAACGTTCAGAGGAAAGGTTGACATTATGACAGGCCATTGGCTTGATCTAGGTAATGACAGTCTCGGCGTGTTGCTCCGCGCCGCGTGAATCATAATGACTAACTCAGCGCCTGCATGACGTCCGCTCCTCCACCTCACCCTGCTCTACACTCCTCCACAGAGAGAATGTATTTTTCTTTAAAGGAGAAAGTTACTCCTTTTCCGGCCCTCTGTCAATGTTGCCATTTCTGGTCCTCCGTCAACCCAGCCACAGTGTGGGTACGGAGTGTCAATCCGACGCTTCGTGCCCCGACTGTGGCCCGTGCAGGGGTGGGAACATGAGGGTGTTACTACACGCCTGGGCCTAACCTCACTCCACTCTGCACGGGGACTGGTGATGGTCCAGTGGTTCATGAGGGTCGGGATCGGCCCCATTAAGAGATGGGCGGCTCCCCCATGGCGCAACCTTTGTAATAGGTGTAAATGGAAGTTGTGTAGCTGTCTCTAGACGGGTCCACAGGTGTGCCGGGGGAGTTTAAGGTACATACATATATATATATATATATATATATTCCTTCAGTAATGTAATAGGAGCCTGAACACGCTGCCTCTGGCATGAGAGGCGAGCGCCCTATTGACTGAGCCACGAGCCAGTCACAATAAGGAAGGATTCTAGAGGCGCCAAAAAGGTGCCCAAACCAACACTTTAATTGTCCCCCGGGCGGCCACTTGACCACACAACACTTTCACAAGTTACTGTCAACACCGGTGATAGTAAAAGTTCATTCAGCAGGGTCAGTGTTATGAGGACAAGGAGCTGGGATATGAGGACACGGAGCTGGGGTATGAGGACAAGGAGCTGGGATATGAGGACACGGAGCTGGGGTATGAGGACAAGGAGCTGGGATATGAGGACACGGAGCTGGGGTATGAGGGCAAGGAGCTGGGGTATGAGGACAAAGAGCTGGGGTATGAGGACTTCAGGAAGGAACAGTTGCCCACTCACGTCTGCAAGGAAAGGTTTGGTGTCCATCCTGCCCAAATTACCATGGGAGCCACAGAGCCACAGAGGAAAATAGTGGCGGGATATTTGCATGGCATAAACAGTTGCACCAAGATTACTGCAACACAGATCACTGTTGCAAATTGTTATCTTTGTCTCCTGAGGAACTGGTCTCTGTGCGTGGGAGCTGAGTCAGTATGGTGACAGTACCGTGGGAGCTGAGTCAGTATGGTGACAGTACCGTGGGAGCTGAGTCAGTATGGTGACAGTACCGTGGGAGCTGAGTCAGTATGGTGACAGTACCGTGGGAGCTGAGTCAGTATGGTGACAGTACCGTGGGAGCTGAGTCAGTATGGTGACAGTACCGTGGGAGCTGAGTCAGTATGGTGACAGTACCGTGGGAGCTGAGTCAGTATGGTGACAGTACCGTGGGAGCTGAGTCAGTATGGTGACAGTACCGTGGGAGCTGAGTCAGTATGGTGACAGTACCGTGGGAGCTGAGTCAGTATGGTGACAGTACCGTGGGAGCTGAGTCAGTATGGTGACAGTACCGTGGGTACCGTGAGATGTCAAGGACATCATGACACCCCACCAGGGGACATCCATGGTCCTACACAGCGCGGCGCTGGTGTGGTCTGAGGGACATTTCTCCCCCTACCAATATATGTAAATCCACCGCTGGTTGTAAGTTGTGGTCGGGGCCGTTGGTGGGACAGTGATGGCGAGCAGTGGCTACACTCACTTCCTCGAGAAATGTATTAATATGCTCAGAATAAAAATGAAAATATATTTCGTGGAGTTGCTTTTATTTTCTCTCTCTTTTTCTCTGTGTCTCGGTCCGGGGGTCAGTAGGATGTCCCTACGATATCACTTCAGACTTGACTAAGTCTGAAGATGGCCAGACTGACTCGCCAAAGACTAAATACATTACAGATATGGTGAAATTCGTCACGACAAATTGTGGGAGGGAAATTTGGAATTATATTAAATTGTGTCTATTTTTTCACGTGGAATAGGACCCTGGGAGGCTTCTATTATTTATTTTTCCAATTATAATTTTTATCATATTTTTCCCCATTCTGCAACTTATCCTGGAACTTATTACTATTCTGCAACTTTTCCTGGAACTTATTACTATTCTGCAACTTTTCCTGGAACTTATTACTATTCTGCAACTTTTCCTGGAACTTATTACTATTCTGCAACTTTTCCTGGAACTTATTACTATTCTGCAACTTTTCCTGGAACTTATTACTATTCTGCAACTTTTCCTGGAACTTATTACTATTCTGCAACTTTTCCTGGAACTTATTACTATTCTGCAACTTTTCCTGGAACTTATTACTATTCTGCAACTTTTCCTGGAACTTATTACTATTCTGCAACTTTTCCTGGAACTTATTACTATTCGGCAACTTTTCTTGGCACTAATTGTTATTTTGCAACTTTTCCCTGGCACTTATTGCTATTCTGCAACTTTTCCCTGGCACTTATTGCTATCGTGTCAACGCTCTGCAATACTCATATTACAATAAAGATAAGTATTGAACTATCGTTGCAATACTTAGCGTTAGTGCACGATAGTTCAGGGTTGTTCTGAGTCGCCATCTTATGGCATTATCGTGAGGCTATTCTGTCTATTGGGTTATCATGAGGTTATCTTGAGAAGATTTCGGGCCTTTAGTGTCCCCGCGGCCCGGTCCTCGACCAGGCCTCCACCCCCAGGAAGCAGCCCGTGACAGCTGACTAACACCCAGGTACAAATTTTATTGCTAGGTAACAGGGGCATAGGGTGAAAGAAACTCTGCCTATTGTTTCTTGCCGGCGTCCGGGATCGAACCCGGGACCACAGGATCACAAGTCCAGCGTGCTGTCCGCTCGGCCGACCGGCTCTGTGTTTGTCGACACTGTTGTGGTCAGCGCGATGTAAACATCCATCTCCTTTTCTCTTTGTGTTCTATTTAACATTTTGTCTGTGTTCAATATTCACCTCTCTGTGTTCTGTTCAACCTTCACCTGTGTTCTGTTCAATTGTCTTCTTTATGTTCTCTTCAGCCTTCTCATATATGTTTTGTTCAACGTTCACCCTTTGTGTTCTGTTCAACCTTCTCCTTGTGTATGTAAATGTTGCCTCCCTGAAATACCTCTTTAATTATTGTTGTAAATACAACATTCACCCGTGACGAGACTCGCTGCCTCTCCCGGTAACCTCCTCCCGGTCACCTCCTCCCGGTCACCTCCTCCCGGTCACCTCCTCCCGGTAACCTCCTCCCGGTCACCTCCTCCCGGTAACCTCCTCCCGGTCACCTCCTCCCGGTAACCTCCTCCCGGTCACCTCCTCCCGGTAACCTCCTCCCGGTAACCTCCTCCCGGTCACCTCCTCCCGGTCACCTCCTCCCGGTAACCTCCTCCCGGTAACCTCCTCCCGGTCACCTCCTCCCAGTCACCTCCTCCCGGTAACCTCCTCCCGGTAACCTCCTCCCGGTAACCTCCTCCCGGTAACCTCCTCCCAGTCACCTCCTCCCGGTCACCTCCTCCCAGTCACCTCCTCCCGGTAACCTCCTCCCGGTAACCTCCTCCCGGTAACCTCCTCCCGGTAACCTCCTCCCAGTCACCTCCTCCCGGTCACCTCCTCCCGGTAACCTCCTCCCGGTAACCTCCTCCCGGTCACCTCCTCCCGGTAGCCTCCTCCTGGTCACCTCCTCGCAGTCACCTCCTCCCAGTCACCTCCTCCTGGTCACCTCCTCCCGGTCACCTCCTCCCGGTCACCTCCTCCCAGTCACCTCCTCCCAGTCACCTCCTCACGGTCACCTCCTCCCGGGCACCTCCTCCCGGTCACCTCCTCCCGGTCACCTCCTCCCAGTCACCTCCTCCCGGTCACCTCCTCCCGGTCACCTCCTCCCGGTCACCTCCTCCCAGTCACCTCCTCCCAGTCACCTCCTCCCGGTCGCCTCCTCCCGGTCACCTCCTCCCGGTCACCTCCTCCCGGTCGCCTCCTCCCGGTCACCTCCTCCCGGTCACCTCCTCCCGGTCACCTCCTCCCGGTCACCTCCTCCCGGTCACCTCCTCCCGGTCACCTCCTCCCGGTCACCTCCTCCCGGTAACCTCCTCCCGGTCACCTCCTCCCGGTCACCTCCTCCCGGTCACCTCCTCCCGGTCACCTCCTCCCGGTAACCTCCTCCCGGTCACCTCCTCCCGGTCACCTCCTCCCGGTAACCTCCTCCCGGTCACCTCCTCCCGGTCGCCTCCTCCCGGTCACCTCCTGCCGGTCACCTCCTCCCGGTCGCCTCCTCCCGGTCACCTCCTCCCGGTCACCTCCTCCCGGTCACCTCCTCCCGGTCACCTCCTCCCGGTCACCTCCTCCCGGTAACCTCCTCCCGGTCACCTCCTCCCGGTCACCTCCTCCCGGTCACCTCCTCCCAGTCACCTCCTCCCGGTCGCCTCCTCCCGGTCACCTCCTCCCGGTCACCTCCTCCCGGTCGCCTCCTCTCGGTCACCTCCTCCCGGTCACCTCCTCCCGGTAACCTCCTCCCGGTCACCTCCTCCCGGTCACCTCCTCCCGATAACCTCCTCCCGGTCACCTCCTCACGGTCACCTCCTCCCGGTAACCTCCTCCCGGTCACCTCCTCCCGGTCACCTCCTCCCGGTCACCTCCTCCCGGTCACCTCCTCCCGGTCACATCCTCCCGGTCACCTCCTCCCGGTCACCTCCTCCCGGTAACCTCCTCCCGGTCACCTCCTCCCGGTCACCTCCTCCCGGTCACTTCCTCCCGGTAATTGATGGCAATCATTAAAGAAAATATTTTCATTTTCAGTAATTACATCCTTGTGCTTATTGGTGACCAGTAACTCAGCGTCAGTGCTGACGCCTCGCTGCTGCTGTTTCCTGTGTTGGTGAGGTCAGCAGTGACTGTAACACGTGTTGGTGTGGTCAGCAGTGACTGTAACACGTGTTGGTGTGGTCAGCAGTGACTGTAACACGTGTTGGTGAGGTCAGCAGTGACGGTAACACGTGTTGGTGTGGTCAGCAGTGACTGTAACACGTGTTGGTGAGGTCAGCAGTGACTGTAACACGTGTTGGTGTGGTCAGCAGTGACTGTAACACGTGTTGGTGTGGTCAGCAGTGACTGTAACACGTGTTGGTGTGGTCAGCAGTGACTGTAACACGTGTTGGTGAGGTCAGCAGTGACGGTAACACGTGTTGGTGTGGTCAGCAGTGACTGTAACACGTGTTGGTGAGGTCAGCAGTGACTGTAACACGTGTTGGTGTGGTCAGCAGTGACTGTAACACGTGTTGGTGAGGTCAGCAGTGACGGTAACACGTGTTGGTGTGGTCAGCAGTGACTGTAACACGTGTTGGTGAGGTCAGCAGTGACTGTAACACGTGTTGGTGTGGTCAGCAGTGACTGTAACACGTGTTGGTGTGGTCAGCAGTGACTGTAACACGTGTTGGTGTGGTCAGCAGTGACGGTAACACGTGTTGGTGAGGTCAGCAGTGACGGTAACACGTGTTGGTGAGGTCAGCAGTGACTGTAACACGTGTTGGTGTGGTCAGCAGTGACTGTAACACGTGTTGGTGTGGTCAGCAGTGACGGTATCACGTGTTGGTGAGGTCAGCAGTGACTGTAACACGTGTTGGTGTGGTCAGCAGTGACGGTAACACGTGTTGGTGAGGTCAGCAGTGACGGTAACACGTGTTGGTGTGGTCAGCAGTGACGGTAACACGTATTGGTGTGGTCAGCAGTGACTGTAACACGTGTTGGTGTGATCAGCAGTGACTGTAACACGTGTTGGTGACGTCAGCAGTGACGGTAACACGTATTGGTGTGGTCAGCAGTGACCGTAACACGTGTTGGTGAGGTCAGCAGTGACGGTAACACGTGTTGGTGTGGTCAGCAGTGACGGTAACACGTGTTGGTGAGGTCAGCAGTGACGGTAACACGTGTTGGTGAGGTCAGCAGTGACGGTAACACGTGTTGGTGTGGTCAGCAGTGACCGTAACACGTGTTGATGTGGTCAGCAGTGACGGTAACACGTGTTGGTGAGGTCAGCAGTGACTGTAACACGTGTTGGTGAGGTCAGCAATGACCGTAACACGTGTTGGTGTGGTCAGCAGTGACTGTAACACGTGTTGGTGAGGTCAGCAGGGACGGTAACACGTGTTGGTGTGGTTAGCAGTGACGGTAACACGTGTTGGTGTGGTCAGCAGTGACGGTAACACGTGTTGGTGAGGTCAGCAGTGACTGTAACACGTGTTGGTGAGGTCAGCAGTGACGGTAACACGTGTTGGTGTGGTCAGCAGTGACGGTAACACGTGTTGGTGTGGTCAGCAGTGACGGTAACACGTGTTGGTGAGGTCAGCAGTGACTGTAACACGTGTTGGTGAGGTCAGCAGTGACGGTAACACGTGTTGGTGTGGTCAGCAGTGACGGTAACACGTGTTGGTGAGGTCAGCAGTGACTGTAACACGTGTTGGTGTGGTCAGCAGTGACGGTTACACGTGTTGGTGAGGTCAGCAGTGACTGTAACACGTGTTGGTGAGGTCAGCAGTGACGGTAACACGTGTTGGTGTGGTCAGCAGTGACGATAACACGTGTTGGTGTGGTCAGCAGTGACGGTAACACGTGTTGGTGAGGTCAGCCGTGACGGTAACACGTGTTGGTGTGGTCAGCAGTGACCGTAACACGTGTTGGTGTGGTCAGCAGTGACTGTAACACGTGTTGGTGTGGTCAGCAGAGACGGTAACACGTGTTGGTGTGGTCAGCAGTGACGGTAACACGTGTTGGTGTGGTCAGCAGTGACGGTAACACGTGTTGGTGTGGTCAGCAGTGACCGTAACACGTGTTGGTGTGGTCAGCAGTGACCGTAACACGTGTTGAAGTGGTCAGCAGTGACGGTAACACGTGTTGGTGTGGTCAGTAGTGACGTAAGTTGGATATTAATAGTGTATTAAAAGTATCAACACAAGACGGAACACGAAACAATGCGTATAAATTGGTTAAGTATAGATTTAGGAAAGACCTGGGTAAATACTGGTTCGGTAACAGGGTTGGTGATTTGTGGAACCAATTACCTAAACGTGGTGGAGGTGTGGTCCCTTGATTGTTTCAAGCGTAGGTTGGACATGTATATGAGTGGGATTGGGTGGTTATAAATAGGAGCTGCCTCGTATGGGTCAATAGGCCTACTGCAGTTACCTTTGTTCTTATGTTCTTATGTTCTTAAATACTAACTAATTGTTCACTGTGTCAGAATATTATCGTGTAATTATACCAGTAATCCTGTGTCATTGAACAATTTTTTTTTTTTTTTTTTTTTTTTTTTTTTTTTGAGATATATACAAGAGTTGTTACATTCTTGTACAGCCACTAGTACGCGTAGCTTTTCGGGCAAGTCCTTAATCCTATGGTCCCTGGAATACGATCCCCTGCCGCGAAGAATCGTTTTTTCATCCAAGTACACATTTTACTGTTGCGTTAAACAGAGGCTACAGTTAAGGAATTGCGCCCAGTAAATCCTCCCCGGCCAGGATACGAACCCATGACATAGCGCTCGCGGAACGCCAGGCGAGTGTCTTACCACTACACCACGGAGACTGTAAATTAATATAATTAATTAAATTAATAATTATTTCTCTATACTATATCCTTGATCAATTATATCCATTGGAACTCAGAACTCCTGTACCATTGAACTATTATTCTACTGTAACACTGTACCATTGAACTATTATTCTACTGTAACACTGTACCATTGAACTATTATTCTACTGTAACACTGTACCATTGAACTATTATTCTACTGTAACACTGTACGATTAAACCATTATTACAATGAACCGCTATACCATTGAACCTGGGTACCATTGAACCTGGGTACCATTGAGCCACTATACCACTGGTCCGGTGTCTCATTTTATCATTACATTGTGCTATCACCAACAATTTATCTTAATACATCGAGCACAAT